CCTGATACTACTATCTGTGATCCTTCCGCGAGTATATTTCCCTGCCCTGATACTACTGTCTGTGATCATCCCTTGAGTATATTTCCCTGCCCTTATACTACTATATGTGCTCCTCCCGTGAGTATATTTCCCTGCCCTAATAGCAATGTCTGTGATCCTCTCGTGAGTATATTTCCCTGCCCTGATACTACTGTCTGTGATCCTCCCGTGAGTATATTTCCCTGCATTGATACTACTGTCTGTGATCCTCCCGTGAGTATATTTCCCTGTCCTGATACTACTGTCTGTGATCCTCCCTTGAGTATATTTCCCTGCCCTGATACTACTATCTGTGATCCTTCCGTGAGTATATTTCCCTTCCCTGATACTACTATCTGTGATCCTCCCGTGAGTATATTCCCCTGTCCTGATACTACTATCTGTGATCCTCCCATGAGTATATTTCCCTGCCCTGATACTACTATCTGTGATCCTCCCGTGAGTATATTTCCCTGCCCTAATAGCAATGTCTGTCATCCTCTCGTGAGTATATTTCCCTGCCTTGATACTACTGTCTGTGATCCTCCCGTGAGTATATTTCCCTGCCTTGATACTACTGTCTGTGATCCTTCCCGTGAGTATATTTCCCTGCCCTGATACTACTGTCTGTGATCCTCCCGTGAGTATATTTCCCTGCCCTGATACTACTGTCTGTGATCCTCCCTTGAGTATATTTCCCTGCCCTGATACTACTGTCTGTGATCCTCCCGTGAGTATATTTCCCTTCCCTGATACTACTATCTGTGATCCTCCCGTGAGTATATTTCCCTGCCCTGATGCTACTATCTGTGCTCCTCCCGTGAGTATATTTCCCTGCCCTAATAGCACTATCTGTGATCCTCTCGTGAGTATATTTCCCTGCCCTGATACTACTGTCTGTGATCCTCCCTTGAGTATATTTCCCTGCATTGATCCTACTGTCTGTGATCCTCCCGTGAGTACATTTCCCTGATCTGATACTACTTTCTGTGATCCTTCCGTGGGTATATTTCCCTGCCCCAATGCTACTATCTGTGATCCTTCCGAGAGTTTATTTCCATGCCTTGATGCTACTATCTGTGATCCTCCCGTGGGTATATTTCCCTGCCCTGATACTACTATCTGTGATCCTGCCGCGAGTATATTTCCCTGCCCTGATACTACTGTCTGTGATCCTCCCGTGAGTATATTTCCCTGCCCTTATACTACTATATGTGCTCCTCCCGTGAGTATATTTCCCTGCCCTAATAGCAATGTCTGTGATCCTCTCGTGAGTATATTTCCCTGCCCTGATACTACTGTCTGTGATCCTCCCGTGAGTATATTTCCCTGCATTGATACTACTGTCTGTGATCCTCCCGTGAGTACATTTCCCTGCCTTGATACTACTGTCTGTGATCCTCCCGTGAGTATATTTCCCTGTCCCGATACTACTGTCTGTGATCCTCCCTTGAGCATATTTCCCTGCCCTGACCTTACTATCTGTGATACATCAATGAGTATATTTCCCTGTCTTGATCCTACTGGCTGTGATCGTCCCGCGAGTGTATTTCTCTGCCCTGATACTACTATCTCTGATCCTCCCCCGAGTATGTTTCTCTGCCCTGATACTACTATATGTGATCCTCCCGTGCGTATATTTCCCTATGTTGATGCTACTGTCTGTGATCCTCCCGTGAGTATATTTCCCTGATCTGATACTACTTTCTGTGATCCTTCCGTGGGTATATTTCCCTGCCCCGATGCTACTATCTGTGATCCTTCCGCGAGTTTATTTCCATGCCTTGATGCTACTATCTGTGATCCTGCCATGGGTATATTTCCCTGCCCTGATACTACTTTCTGTGATCCTGTCGCGAGTATATTTCCCTGCCCTGATACTACTGTCTGTGATCATCCCTTGAGTATATTTCCCTGCCCTTATACTACTCTATGTGCTCCTCCCGTGAGTATATTTCCCTGCCCTAATAGCAATGTCTGTGATCCTCACGTGAGTATATTTCCCTGCCCTGATACTACTGTCTGTGATCCTCCCGTGAGTATATTTACCTGCCCTGATACTACTGTCTGTGATCCTCCCGTGAGTACATTTCCCTGCCTTGATACTACTGTTTGTGATCCTCCCTTGAGTATACTTCCCTGCCCAGATACTACTGTCTGTGATCCTCCCGTGAGTATTAATCCGTTCCCTGATGCTACTATCTGTGATCTTTCCTTAAGCATATTTCCCTGCCTTGATACTACTCTCTGTGATCCTCCGGCGAGTATGTTTCCCTTCCCTGATACTGCTGTCTGTGATCCTCCCGTGAGTATATTTCCCTGCACTGATACTACTGTCTGTGATCCTCTCGTTAGTATATTTCCCTGCCCTGGTACTACTATCTGTGATCCTCCCGTGAGTATTTATCCGTTCCCTGATGCTACTATCTGTGATCTTCCCTTAAGCATATTTCCCTGCCTTGATACTTCTATCTGTGATCCTCCGGCGAGTATGTTTCCCTTCCCTGATACTACTGTCTGTGATCCTCCCTTGAGTATATTTCCCTGCACTGATACTACTATCTGTGATCCTCTCGTTAGTATATTTCCCTGCCCTGGTACTACTATCTGTGATCCTCCCGTGAGTATTTATCCGTTCCCTGATGCTACTATCTGTGATCTTCCCTTAAGCATATTTCCCTGCCTTGATACTTCTATCTGTGATCCTCCGGCGAGTATGTTTCCCTTCCCTGATACTACTGTCTGTGATCCTCCCTTGAGTATATTTCCCTGCACTGATACTACTATCTGTGATCCTCTCGTTAGTATATTTCCCTGCCCTGGTACTACTATCTGTGATCCTCCCGTGAGTATTTATCCGTTCCTTGATGCTACTATCTGTGATCTTCCCTTAAGCATATTTCCCTGCCTTGATTCTACTATCTGTGATCCTCCCGTGAGTATATTTCCCTGATCTGATACTACTTTCTGTGATCCTTCCGTGGGTATATGTCCCTGCCCCGATGCTACTATCTGTGATCCTCCTGTGGGTAAATTTCCCTGCCCTGATACTACTGTCTGTGATCCTCCTGCGAGTATACTTCCCTGGCCTTATACTCCTGTCTGTGATCCTCCCGTGAGTATATTTCCCTGCCCTGATACTTCTATCTGTGATCCTTCCATAAGTATATATCCCTTCCCTGATGCTACTATCTGTGATCCTCCCTTGAGCATATTTCCCTGCCTTGATGCTACTATCTGTGATCCTCCAGTGTGTATATTTCCCTATGTTGATGCTACTGTCTGTGATCCTCCCGTGAGTATATTTCCCTGATCTGATACTACTTTCTGTGATCCTCCCGTGAGTATATTTCCCTTCCTTGATGCTGCTATCTGTGTTCCTCCCGCGAGTATATTTACAAGCCTTGATGCTAGTATCTGTGATCCTTCCGTGGGTATATTTCCCTGCCCTGATACTACTATCTGTGATCCTGCCGCGAGTATATTTCCCTGCCCTGATACTGCTATCTGTGATCTTGCCGCGAGTATATTTCCCTGCCCTGATACAACTGTCTGTGATCATCCCTTGAGTATATTTCCCTGCCCTGATACTACTATCTGTAATCGTTCCGCGAGTATATACCCCTTCCCTGATACTACTATCTGTGATCCTCCCGCAAGTACATTCCCCTGTCTTGATACCATTATCTGTGAACCTCCCATGAGTATATTTCCCTGCCCTTATATTACTATCTGTGATCTTTCAATGAGTATATTTCCCTGTGTTGATGCTACTGTCTGTAATCTTCCCGTGAGCATATTCCCCTTCCCTGATGCTACTATCTGTGATCATCCCGCGAGTATATTTCGCAGTCCTGATTCTACTATCTGTGATCCTCACACGTCGTCATATGAGCGAAATATTCTCAAGCACGACGTTAAACCCATTTCCACCACCACCACCACCGCTATCTGTGATCCCTGTACGAGTATAATTACCTGCCCTGGTGCTTCTGTCTGTGATCCCACCGCGAGTATATTTCACTGCCCTGATGCGACTGTCTGTGATCTCACCACGAGTATAATTACCTGCCCTGATGCTACTATCTGTGATCTTTAATGTAGAGTCTTTTGTTTCCATGAAATGAAATTGATCAGTATCAGTTACTCTTCGACAAAAGATAAGTGTACCTATAAACTCCTATCAAGATGTGTCATATGCATAATGTTGTATCAAGTACATAAAGAATATTAAGACTATACAGTTCAAACATGTAGACCTACATTTTCACTTTCAATCCATGTCGGTCAAGCTGATTTCTTTTCCCCATTCGTAAAAGAAAATCGACGGTGCACATACACGCAGTCTGTCTCACAGTCCATGAACCACATTATTTTCCCTACAGCCCAGCCCTCCCTGCAGTGTAGTCTGTCTCACAGTCCCTGAACCACGTTATTTATCCTACAGCCCAGCCCTCCCTGCAAAGCTAAAGCCCTAAATGAAGGAAGTCTAGATTTCCCCATGTTCTTAACCTCTGGCCTCCCTGGGGCTCCTTTTCAAGTTAAATGGGTTTATTTGTTGCAAACAAAATTATATATATTCAGAGACTAAGCGTTGGTCTACACATAAGCACTGCACAGATCCAGAGTTTTCAGTCGATCTGTAATCACGTGTTGACCAGGGCCTGGATGATCAGGCATTATACTCACGCCTGAGTAGGGGATAGACCCTCCACAAGTCCCTGAGGTAATAATTAATAGTTTAAATGTTAATTTCTTCACAAGTAAATAACAGACTGGTGTTTTTACGGTACTGTCCGCTTATCTAGACTTGCCTCTTTAAAGGATCGAATTAATGTACTTAACATTCAATATACAGCTTTGGAACAAGGCTAAGTTAAAGGGGTCACGGGCCTGTTCTGTTATCAGCTGGCTATATCTCTCGAAGCAGTTATTCACTAAGGGAAACAACTCGAGCCGGTTCATTTCGCTACCTGTCTATAATTAGAGTGATAACCTATATATCCCTCGCGGAACTATCAAAAGGTTTCAGTCAACCAGTCCCCAATGAAACGTCTGCTTGTACTGCTCCTGGCTTCACGGAAACTTACAAAGCCAACATACAGTCGCCGAACCATGGCCAACCTCCTTTGTACCTTTGTCTGAACTTAATCACGTCAATACCAGTGGTGTGGGAGCGAATGAAATCCTTTAAAGTTTTACGTCATATCCGACATATCTGGCAGTAAGGTGAGATATCCCTTGTGTTGCATATACTGCGAGCCCCAGACACGTGTTTCGCTAGAACAGAGCAGACGTGTGTTGTCGTCTGCTCACAATTCGATTCAACTATTTATTGTCAGTCGTATGTATTACTGTTAAAAGAATGGGCAACAAGTCTAGTAGTACCTCCTCGGAATCTATCAACCCGGCAGTGCTTACCGTTAAAGAAGCTCAGAGGAAATACTTGGAAGAGATAGAGACGAAGTTCGAATCTGAATCTGATTCCGATCTAGAAGCGGATGAAGAAAGCAGTTGTGACGAGTCAGATGGAATAAAACTGTTCAGAAAACGCAAGTTTTACTCTATGTTAAATACAGTTGACAGGAAGGCGAAGAAAATCGACCCATCGGATTATACCTTTCCTTTCGAGAACATCGTTTTCGAAGGCGGAGGGAATAAAGGACTTGCATACTGTGGCGCTGTTCGGGTAAGGATACTAGCTGTTATAACTCCAAACCTTAATTATATACCTTTACACTCAAACTATGACCAGCTGGGCCAGTGCTTGATGAAATATATCTCACATGGAGATACACTACAGTTGAACGTTTATAGCAACGTCAAACATCAGTGTGGTGTTTAACGTACGTGCATTAGCTGCGCAATGCATCTTTAGGAAGGGTGATTCACTTGTCCTTTCACAGAGCACTATTAACTTGAGTATTAACTGAGTACAACGTCTACGCTGGGCCACTGTATGTTAAGCGGTGTGTAGATGAACACGTGTGGGTACTTCACTGGTGAATGGTTAAGGGAGTGGAACACCATCACATTTCTGTATTCATCCCTGATCACAGCGTTGGTTCTATGTTTAAACCACACCGGCACCGGTATAACTATATTACCATGTGTGAAGGTTGTGTCATGGTAAGGGTCGGTTGCCCCGCCGTCAGATACACGCTGGCATTTTGTGATTTTACAGTCAAACATTTGCTGCATCGGGTCAAACGCAGTGGTTCATGTCACATGATACCTGTATTTAGCACCGACTGAGAATTTCGCATTTAAAGTAAAGAGATTTAGACACCAGATTCGGTGATTATCACGATATTTTTCATTTCGTCATGACACGGTAACATAACGGCATATTACACCTTCTCCCTGCACGTCTCTGTGTACACAAAGAGTCTGTGTAAATGTTTGCCGGTCGTTTGCTGAGGATGGTCTGTACAGGGAGTGTAAGTGGAGGGCTTGAAACGGGGTTGACGGTGACATGTAAATTTGGTTTGAAATGTTAATATGGCGGCATCCTGGGATGATTAGGCCACTGACAGCATTACTGTATCATTGAAGAGAAATTATTTACCAGTATTAATGAACAATGTAATAATGTATGCTGACTATTCATCTAGATCACGACTACATAAGTGTTTGGATGTATTACATTGTATCAAGATACTGCTTTATCAGAATAAACATTAATCATGATGTCTCTCATTTGGATTATATTTTAATCCCTGCCCATTCCTTGGATTGTGCAAATTGAATCATGAATTGCCCCGTTCCCGGAAATGGGACAGAGCGGTTGCACAAAACCAGGGAATAAGCAATTCCAGGAATTGGGCACGACATATACAAGGTGAGATCAGCACACCCTGATAGCACTTGGCGTGTTGATGCCCTGGGTCACCTAGTCCAACCCTTGCTAAGACTAGTGTAAACCACGCTAGCTATATAAGTTGGCCGTGTGTGCGGTATGTCCGGTATATCCGTCTGTGTTACTGGTTGTACTTCAATGTATGACTGCCTTCAGTTCACGCTAGCTATATAGGTTGGCCGTGTGTGCGGTATATCCGGTATATCCGTCTGTGTTACTGGTTGTACTTCAGTATATGACTGCCTTCAGTACACGCTAGCTATATAGGTTGGCCGTGTGTGCGGTATATCCGGTATATCCGTCTGTGTTACTGGTTGTACTTCAGTGTATGACTGCCTTCAGTACACGCTATCTATATAGGTTGGCCGTGTGTGCGGTATATCCGGTATATCCGTCTGTGTTATTGGTTGTACTTCAGTGTATGACTGCCTTCAGTACACGCTATCCATATAGGTTGGCCGTGTGTGCGGTATGTCCGGTATATCCGTCTGTGTTACTGGTTCTGCTTCAGTGTATGACTGCCTTCAGTACACGCTAGCTATATAGGTTAGCCGTGTGTGCGGTATATCCGTCTGTGTTACTGGTTGTACTTCAGTTTATGACTGCCTTCAGTACACGCTATCTATATAGGTTGGCCGTGTGTGCGGTATATCCGGTATATCCGTATATGTTACTGGTTGTACTTCAGTGTATGACTGCCTTCAGTACACGCTAGCTATATAGGTTGGCCGTGTATGCGGTATATCCGGTATATCCGTATGTGTTACTGATTGTACTTCAATGTATGACTGCCTTCAGTTCACGCTAACTATATAGGTTGGCAGTGTGTGCGGTATATCCGGTATATCCGTATATGTTACTGGTTGTGCTTGAGTGTATGACTGCCTTCAGTACACGCTAGCTATAAAGGTTGGCCGTGTGTGCGGTATATCCGGTATATCCGTCTGTGTTACTTGTTGTACTTCAGTGTATGACTGCCTTCAGTTCACGCTAGCTATATAGGTTGGCCGTGTGTGCGGTATATCCGGTATAACCGTCTGTGTTACTGGTTGTACTTCAGTATATGACTGCCTTCAGTACACGCTAGCTATATAGGTTGGCCGTGTGTGCGGTATAACCGTCTGTGTTACTGGTTGTACTTCAGTGTATGACTGCCTTCAGTACAAGCTGGCTATATAGGTTGGCCGTGTGTGCGGTATAACCGTCTGTGTTACTGGTTGTACTCTAGTGTATGACTGCCTTCAGTACACGCTATCTATATAGGTTGTCCGTGTGTGCGGTATATCCGGTATATCCGTATGTGTTACTGGTTGTACTTCAGTGTATGACTGCCTTCAGTTCACGCAAGATATATAGGTTGGCCGTGTGTGCGGTATATCCGGTATATCCGTCTGTGTTACTGGTTGTACTTCAGTGTATGACTGCCTTCAGTACACGCTAGCTATATAGGTTGGCCGTGTATGCGGTATATCCGGTATATCCGTATGTGTTACTGGTTGTACTTCAAAGTATGACTGCCTTCAGTTCACGCTAGCTATATAGGTTGGCCGTGTGTGCGGTATATCCGGTATATCCGTCTGTGTTACTGGCTGTGCTTGAGTGTATGACTGCCTTCAGTACACGCTAGCTATAAAGCTTGGCCGTGTGTGCGGTATGTCCGGTATATCCGTCTGTGTTACTCGTTGTACTTCAATGTATGACTGCCTTCAGTTCACGCTAGCTATATAGGTTGGCCGTGTGTGCGGTATATCCGGTATATCCGGTATATCCGTATGTGTTACTTGTTGTACTTCAATGTATGACTGCCTTCAGTTCACGCAAGATATATAGGTTGGCCGTGTGTGCGGTATATCCGGTATATCCGTCTGTGTTACTGGTTGTACTTCAGTATATGACTGCCTTCAGTACACGCTAGCTATATAATTTGGCCGTGTATGCCGTATAACCGGTATATCCGTCTGTGTTACTGGTTGTACTTCAGTGTATGACTGCCTTCACTACAACCTGGCTATATAGGTTGGCCGTGTGTGCGGTATATCCGTCTGTGTTACTGGTTGTACTCTAGTGTATGACTGCCTTCAGTACACGCTAGCTATGTAGGTTAGCCGTGTGTGCGGTATATCCGGTATATCCGTCTGTGTTACTGGTATTACTTCAGTGTATGACTGCCTTCAGTTCACGCTATCTATATAGGTTGTCCGTGTGTGCGGTATATCCGGTATATCCGTGTCAGTTACTTGTACTTCAGTGTATGACTGCCTTCAGTTCTCGCAAGATATATAGGTTGGCCGTGTGTGCGGTATATCCGGTATATCCGTCTGTGTTACTGGTTGTACTTCTGTATATGACTGCCTTCAGTACACGCTAGCTATATAGGTTGGCCTTGTGTGTGGTATATCCGGTATATCCGTCTGTGTTACTGGTTGTACTTCAGTGTATGACTGCCTTCAGTACACGCTAGCTATATAGGTTGGCCGTGTATGCGGTATATCCGGTATATCCGTATGTGTTACTGGTTGTACTTCAAAGTATGACTGCCTTCAGTTCACGCTAGCTATATAGGTTGGCCGTGTGTGCGGTATAACCGTCTCTCCGTTGTGTTACTGGTTGTACTTCAGTGTATGACTGCCTTCAGTACACGCTGGCTATATAGGTTGGCCGTGTGTGCGGTATTTCCGGTATATCCGTCTGTGTTACTGGTTGTATTTCAGTGTTTGACTGCCTTCAGTACACGCTAGCTATATAGGTTGGCCGTGTGTGCGGTATATCCGGTATATCCGTCTGTGTTACTGGTTGTGCTTCAGTGTATGACTGCCTTCAGTACACGCTATCTATATAGGTTGGCCGTGTGTGCGGTATATCCGGTATATCCGTCTGTGTTACTGGTTGTACTTCAGTATATGACTGCCTTCAGTACACGCTATCTATATAGGTTGGCCGTGTGTGCGGTATATCCGGTATATCCGTCTGTGTTACTGGTTGTACTTCAGTGTATGACTGCCTTCAGTACACGCTAGCTATATAGGTTGGCCGTGTGTGCGGTATATCCGGTATATCCGTCTGTGTTACTGGTTGTACTTCAGTGTTTGACTGCCTTCAGTACACGCTAGCTATATAGGTTGGCCGTGTGTGCGGTATATCCGGTATATCCGTCTGTGTTACTGGTTGTACTTCAGTGTATGACTGCCTTCAGTACACGCTAGCTATATAGGTTGGCCGTGTGTGCGGTATATCCGGTATATCCGTCTGTTTTACTGGTTGTACTTCAGTGTATGACTGCCTTCAGTACACGCTAGCTATATAGGTTGGCCGTGTGTGCGGTATATCCGGTATATCCGTCTGTGTTACTGGTTGTACTTCAGTGTATGACTGCCTTCAGTACACGCTAGCTATATAGGTTGGTCGTGTGTGCGGTATATCCGTCTGTGTTACTGGTTGTACTTCAGTGTATGACTGCCTTCAGTACACGCTAGCTATATAGGTTGGCCGTGTGTGCGGTATATCCGTCTGTGTTACTGGTTGTACTTCAGTGTATGACTGCCTTCAGTACACGCTAGCTATATAGGTTGGCCGTGTGTGCGGTATATCCGGTATATCCGTCTGTGTTACTGGTTGTACTTCAGTGTATGACTGCCTTCAGTACACGCTGGCTATATAGGTTGGTCCGTGTGTGCGGTATATCCGTTATATCCGTCTGTGTTACTGGTTGTACTTCAGTGTATGACTGCCTTCAGTACACGCTAGCTATATAGGTTGGCCGTGTGTGCGGTATATCCGGTATATCCGTCTGTGTTACTCGTTGTACTTCAATGTATGACTGCCTTCAGTTC